TGGGTGCTGAGCCCCCTTTCTTCCCCCGCTCTGGGTTTCAGAGCCCAAGTGGGACTAACTAAATTTTTAGCCCTGCAGCCTGAACCCTGCAAGTCCAAGTCAATTGACCTGGCCTTTGATACTCAGCACTGGAGGATTTTCTGTGCAGTGTAGACATATCCTTTGATTTTAGTGAACATTGGTGCTTGACTTTTTTTGGTGAGGGAAAGACTGTTAGATAGACACAGTCTGAAAAGTTGTAAGTTTTGTGGGGTCTGGAACAGAGCCACACGAGAGGAACTTTAGAGGCCAGGAGAAGGAACAGTGAGAAAGGTGTGTGTGTTAGATAACAATTGACTGATGCAGCTATTATGCCATCTTTGATGTCTGATGCATGCACACCAATCTCATGGAAGCTATGGCACAGGGACATGAATACCTCTGGGCTCAGCAGGCTAATGGGATTTACTAAGAAGTGTGACTCCTGATAAAGAAAGGATCCTAAGGATTTAAAACTAACATAGAATTTTCTATTTTTTAAACATTTTTTCTAGCCATTTTTACCTGAAATCATGAATATGCCTTCATAATTTGTTCTTGCAGTTATGTATGTGGTCTAGGCTTTTTTTTTAATCTTTGATTTGTTTAAGAATTCAGCAGAGCATCCGATAGAACATACCTTTCAAGATGTTTCATATTTGGGTTCTTTACATAATGCTCAACTTTTCTAGGTCTCCTACACCTTGTCCTCCAACAGCCACCTCTTCATTTAGGTCTTATCGACCCTCTTTACTGCCTAGACCTTCAGCACGTCGCTCACACCAAGCTCGACAGAAGGTAGCAAAAATGAAAAAAGTTTATGAGCTTGAAAAAAAGAGAGAGGTAAATCATTAATGACTGATGTGTTAATGATACAAAATAGGAAATGCACTGATTTTTTTTTCCAGAACAAAACTCTACCATGTCTATACAGGAAGTACTCATTGGTCTGCAGTTATAGGCAGGTACTCAGGCAGCATGTAGAAGGAAACCATCTAATTTAAATGTAGCCTGAATAAAACAGACATAAGGCACTGCAAGGAGCTGTGACTAAAGGCTGGGAACTGCAGTGAGATGGGGCAGAGTGGAGAAATCTGATAAGGAGGCAGAGGTGGGGCTGGTTGAGCAAAGTGACTGGGAAATAATGAGGTGGGAGAAAATAGTGATGAGACAAGCAACCACAATGCAGGGGGAGATCTGGGTCTGGCTGGATTAAGAGACTGAAACAAGGATCTGGGGCAGGAGAGGACACATATGAAAAGGGCAGGAAGGGAGACTGAGATTGGGAGCCAGTCAGGACACAACGTGGACAGACAACTGGAGAAACATGTCAAGGTTGGGGAAGGAACAGGAACTAACTGGGCAAGGAGCTGTGGGCAAGAAGTCTGACGGGGTGAGACTAAGTCTAGGAGCAGAAGTTTGAAAATGGAAAATGGAAAAATTAGGCTAAGAATAAGACTGGGATGAGGAAACTATGATGGGGTAGTGAAAGAACTAGGAGAGTGACTGGTTAGACATCTAGTCTAGTGTTTCTCAAAGTGGGCTGGCCGCTTTGAAAAAGCTGCTAATAGGTTGTTCCAGTTTGTTTGCCTATTGGCTCCTTGGCTGCAAAGCCATGAAGTGAAGAAACCAGATTGGCCTTTTAGCTCTCTCAAGGTGGGCCCATGGCCCACTTTGAGGATCACTATCTTAGCCCTTCAATTCCTTTTGATCTTATTAAAAAGGTTAAAAAAATATATAAAATGTTTCAGTTTGATACAAAAGAAATTCTCCAACATTTTATTCAACTCATATTTTTCCAACTTTTGATTCGCCAGATTGTTTTTTTAAAAAAAATTCAATTCAACTCAAACCAATAATATTTTCAAACTGCAACCAAACAAAAAAGAGGCAGTTATTCACCCAGCTCTAATTAAGTCTTTCCAGCTCTTCATCATCTTTTCTTATAGCCTTCCCTTCTGACTCAGTCCTTTGTAGACCTCTTATAACTTGGGCTTTTCACCCAGTAAGGCTTCTCAGTTCAGGATTATTCCCCAAAATTCTCCTACTCTTCACACATCTCTCCCCTAGACCTTCTGCCTAAGAGTTTGAGAGAGTTGTCATCTAATGCCTCGTGCCCTCTTCTCTCTCTCTAGACTGAGTTTCTCTTTAGGATGACTACATGTTCTTTATCTCTCAGCAAGTCTGATTTATTCACTTACTCATTCTCTTCACTTGAGAAGATGGTCTGATAAGTGCACCTGTGCTACAGCCCCATGCATAATAGCACCAGCTGAACAGATTAACATTTTTAAGAAAAAAAAAAGTGTAAGACACTCAAATATTTTTTTCAACAATAATGTTTTAAACTTTTTAAACTTATGTTTTAACATTCATACTGTAAATTAGTAACTGCAACACAATCCTGTCACAGAATCAGCTCCTCTAGACTTGACAAATGCATGTCTAGGGTTTGTTTTCACACTCATGTAACAGTGAGAAATATCAAATCTCTACTGTTGAGTTCTGTTTGGTTTATCTGAATTTACCATAACAAAGCTATATAATGTGATCTGAAGTAGAAAATTCTTGCTGTTTTGATATAATAAATAGTGTGTATAATGTTCAGGATTGGAAATTGGATGTTACAAATAGAAGTCACTCAAATGAACATCAAGAAAGGATGACTGCACCAGTTGAAAACCCTGAAGATCATTCTAGCTTTTCAGATGAAGAGTGGGAGCATGAAGCCGCTAAATTGTATGCTTGGTCTCAGGCATTATCTCCTGAAGACATTGGAGTATCTTCACTCACATTTAATTTCTGAATTTTAAAATGGTTATTTCACATTAACAGTAAATCGAAAACATTTTTAGATGTTTTCAAATATTTCCTATGTTGCTGAAAATGTGTTACAAATTTTGATCGAGAACATGAATTTTATATATATCATTGATTTTGCCTTGGGTATAACAGATTTAGAATTTGAGCAACCTCCAGATTAGTTGGGAACAGTGTATATTGTGTATGATTACAGTAATTGTTTCACTGTACTTTTGCTTATTTCACCTTCATTATAGAATCATACTACAGTAGTTACTTAGTGGTGAAGATTGCATTCCAGCCTCTGCTCCCTGCTTCCCAAAATGAAACCATTCTCCCTGGAAATTCACATGCAACATTCCATTCCAAGGTAGAATTTTTCTGGGAAGGTTGAAACAAAATCCTATAAGCAATTTTAAAGATATAGGGTTATATTAAGGTTTTATTGTACAATTTTGGGACCAAAGCAATCTTAATCAATTATATGGTGATTCTAGCATCATATGACAACCCCCCACTGTCCTCCTTTGCATTGCAGCTGTGGTAAATATGAGTGTGCTTAGCACTCACCAGAGCTCCACATAATGCCATCACTCTTTCGCGATAGGGTTTGAAACCAGTGATACTCGTCTTCCTTAACAAAGGTACGTGTAGTAGCCCATCAAGTCCTTTAGAGAATACGATCACATCCCTAGAGCCCTGTGTGGATACAACATTTTGTATCCTCATCTATATCCTCAAAAATGAGCTGTGGATATCCACATCTGCAGATTTGCAGAGCTCTACACATTGAGCACCTGATTGGAACCTGCCAGATTTAGATGAATCAACCTGTAATACCTGGCTTTTTCCAACCAACCCTATCCATGCAGCCTTAATACGAAAATACACACTTAAAATCCGTGTTAACCAGTGGCAAAGCAAGGTGTAGAATCCATAAGTTGTGGGAAAGGTTACCAATACTGGTAGCTGCTGGGCACTCTTATTTTATCCTATAAATACAGCAGCATTAACTTCTCACCCTTACTCCTTGCCTCAGTTAACTACAAAAGCACTCTTTTTATCCCTGGAGGAGAAATATTAGTAAAGAATATTGATTTTTTTTCTAAAGTACCAGTCTCATACAAAGCTGTAGAAAATAGAATTTCTGAAAAACTACAAGAAGTAGATGCCAGTCTCATATACATCAGAAGGTATCTGCAGTCTTTTGTATAATACATGAAAACTTACTTTAAGGGAGTGCTATAAAATAGTGCAGTTTAATAGTTTGTATCAAAACATTGATATTGCCTATGAGTTTGCTTTCCTGTACCCTCCCATCCCTTCCAAATAATTTCACTGGTTCTTATCTTGAATGTAGTAGTATTATTTGACAGCTAGGTTAACCCAGGAACCAAGCCTTGCAATAAACCCCATTGCCAACTCTGTTCACACATCTACCCCAGTGACACCATCACGGGACCTAATCACATCAGCTATACCATGCAAATTATTTATGAGATATGCACCATCTTGTGCCAGCAATGCCCCTCTGCTGTGTACATTGGACAAATCAGACTGTCTCTGCACAAAAGAATAAATGGATGCAAACCAGACATCAAGAATGGCAACATAAAAAAAAAAGTGGGTAACTAACTTGCAAGTTGCCATTCTAAGGGGGAAAAGCCTTTTTTGAGGAAAAGTGGCTTTTTGAGAAAGGGTGTTCGCCGAAAAAGCTGTATCTAAACTACTTTCACTTTCAAAAGCTTCCTCTTTTGAATCTTCTCCGTAGTCTAGACATAGCCAAACAGACTAACATGGGTACCTTTTGAAAACGTTCCTTTTAGTTTCTCTTGCAATCTCACTTCATTCTAGCTTATCACTGCAACAGATCAGTGGGAACAGGTGTTCATGCATGACAGTGTGCAGGGCAGCACCCTTTGCTTAAGGTGGAGAGCTGAAATGCTATTTGGGGCTGTAGTTCTACTTTCTTACTTTGTGGATAACAGATGGAGTGCAAAGTAACATGCTAATCACAGGAATTGCTGATAGATCAGATTGGGTGGTTTTGGAATAGCATGGAATATTCCCAAGTAGCAGGTAGGGAATCAATACTGGCTACCAGTGTGAAGTACTGTATGGAAGAGAGGGAAAAGCAGCATTAAGTCCAGACACCATACTATTTTACAGAAGCTGCTATAGTAAGGTAATTACACCAAGTAGCTGAATGAGACAAGCAGGAAAAGAATGAATTTTAGAAATAAATGGGATAAAACAAAATGGAAAGAATAAATCCCAAGAGAGTGTAAGATGTAGTTGAAGAGGGAGAGTTCATTGTGGTATGTGTCCATCACAAACAGGCATGTGCCCTCCTCAAGAGGCAACTAAGGTATCTAAAAGTAGAAGCATGACATGAATGATCAAGTAAGGAACATCAGAGAAATGGAAAAAATTAAGATGAAAAGGGATGAGGCAAAAGTGTCCCTTCTGCTTTGTCTCCCTAACAAAAATAAGGAGCTGAACAGAGTTTGATAAAATACCGTGGCTTTTGTTTTGGGACGGTAAGAAAAAAAGGTTAGAAAGTGAAGTGAACAACACTGACAGAGAAGGCCGCTAAATCAGGTTAACTGAGCAGACAACAAAGCGAGGTCATGGTCTTTACTTTTAGTATGTTTTGATCCTTATTCTCCAATACTGATAAAGCACTGTCCAACTTTAATTAAATGAATGCTGAAATGGACATGGAATTTTGCTACTGGTAAATCTTCTGCTCTTTTAAACCAATTAGGTTTCTGTGAACTTTGGGCTCCAAAAGCTTGGTATCCTAAAATAGACTGGCAATATGGATAGCTAAAAACATTGTTGGGAGATGGATTCTCTTCCTCTCTTGGCCTCTGGTTAATAGGTAGCAGGTTTAAAACAAACAAAAAAGTACTTCTTCACAACGCACTGCCAACCTAGGGAATTCTTTGCTAGAGGATGTTGTGAAGGCCAAGACAATTACAGAGTTTTAAAGAGACAAACTCATAGAGGATAGGTCAATCAATGGCTATTAGCCAGGATGGACAAGGTTGGTGTCCCTATCCTCTGTCAGTTTGGAATGGGTGACAGGATCCATCACTTGATTACCTGTTTTGTTCTTTTCATCTGGGGCACCTGACATTGGCCAGTCAGAAGACAGGATACTGGGCTAGATGGACTTTTTTAACTGATTCAGTATAGCCATTCTCATGTTATATTTATGCTCTAGTTTCGATATCCAGATTGGCTTTATTTTTATTTTTTTTTATTTTTTTTAAGTTATTAAAATTGTTACAGGACTAGACATGTAGTTCTTGAGAGCTCTTTTTAGATATTGTTCACTATATCTCAGTCTGATGGATTCCTGTATCTTGGGTTGGGATACATACGATTTTTGTCTAAACAAAACCCCTGAAGGCAATAATGAGTCATAATGACAGACAAGAGAGTTGGTTGTAGAAAATTTCAGTCACATTCTATAGGAGGAGAGATGAGGTAACAGCAACTTTGGAAGCTAAAAAAGCTGATCTCAGCTGGTATGGCTTCTGACATTGTATGAGCCTAATCTAATGCCTGGTGGAGACAACTGAAAGGCACTATTGTCTCAGTGGGGGATTTGAGGCTAGGCCTTAGAGAACATGAACAAACTACAGGCAGTCCCCGGGTTACGTACAAGATAGGGACTGTAGGTTTGTTCTTAAGTTGAATTTGTATGTAAGTCGGAACTGGTACATATTGTAGGGGAAACTCTAGCCAAACATTTCTCCAGAGCTCAGTTTTATTCTCCCACACCTCACTTCCCTCAGCCCTTTATTCTCAAGCTGAAGTGTCTGCTGAGAAAAGCCGCTCCACCTCTCCCTGGTCTGCTGGGGTGGGGGGGCGCTAGCTTCGCATCTCCCTGGTCTGCTGGGGGGAAGCAGCTAGTGTGGAGTTGCCTCACCCCGTTTGTAAGTAGGGATCCGATGTC